AAGCTTAAAAAAAAAAAAAAAACACCAAAAAACGTGTTTTTCTTAATGTAACTTAAATTGTATAGACATGAAACTAGATATAAAACCCTGTGCTTTTGACACATAATCAGCTATAAACCAAATCTGCAAATTAAATACAAAGAGAATGACAAAACCCAATAAAATTAAAATAAACAGTTATTCAGTTTGACAGATGATGTTTAGGCTTCACAGTAGGAACAAAATAGCCTTAGGTCTGATTCTGTATTAAATGTGTTTCTGTACTGTAACTTCAGTGATATGAAAAGCTGGTGAGAGGCTCGTCGTCTCATCAGTAACATGATGCGAGGTGGTATTAATGGCTGCAAGGCTTTGTTTTTAAGTTTAGAATAATCAGACCTCATACCTAACTCAACACTTGGCAGCAAGCATTCCTTACATATCAATTTTAATGAGATGTCAGCTGTCTTGTTCACTCCAAGATAAGGTTAACACACTGACATTATTGAAATCTTCATTAAATGGTTCTCTAAACCAGTTATTGCTGGGAGCGAGAAGGGAGAAGCCATTACATATTTGCAGCCACATTTACTGCTACTGAACTTTTGCATATTGTACAACAGAATTAAGATTTGTATAAAGCTTGCATTGGTAGTGCATGTCTGAGGGGGGCTTCAAGATGTTTGTGGAAAACTGGAATTGAAAGATAGTGAAATTTTTCTGTGAACTTCTGGAAATCTTGTATGGTTTGGGCTATTAGGCTCTACTTTAGAATGTACCATACCTATACATATATATTGTCATAGATGGAAGTCTTAGTGTAGCACTGTAGGATCATCACTGGATTGCTAACCAAAAGGTCAGTGGTTCAAACTCACCAGCAGCTCCTTGGAAATACTATACAGCAGGAGTGGAGAATGTCTGTCTCACTGCAAAATTATTTGGTCTGGCCCTGCCAAGGCAAGCACAGTTCTACCCATCACTTCGTTGTTATTGTTGTTCAGTGCTGTTGAGTTGGTTCTGACTCTAGCGACCCCATATAGGGTTTCCAAAGAATGGCTGATGAGCTTGAACCACTGACCTTGTGGTTCAAACTGACCTTACAGTCCAGTCCATTAACTCTCCGTGCCACACCAAGACTCCAGCCATCACATGAGTTAATCTGATGTTTCACCAAATATACTAGGCTATTTTTTAAGTTGATAATTTTGTGTGGCCTGTGAATGATGTTGTAAATTTTGGCAGAAAAAAGGCTCCCCACATATGCTCTTCAAGGTTGCTATGAACTGACTCAATAACACTTAACATCCTATTGTGGCAGGTAGGAGTCCCTGGGTAGTATAAATGGTTAAGTACTTGGCTGCTAACTGAAAGGTTGGAGATTTGAGTCCACTCAGAGGACTCTGTAAGGACAATCTAAAAAATCAGCCTCTGTGAAAGCCTTACGGAGCATAATTCTACTCTAACATTCATGATTGCAGGAGTCACATTAGCTTAACAGCAACTGGTTTATATTGCCATGTGCGCTGGTATTTTTCATTCTTTCAGCAACTTGTCATGAAACCTTTGCCTTGTACATTTGACTTACAGGAGTTGGAACACAACTGAGGAAGCATCAGTGAAAGCCAAGTGGCAGTATTTATACAGATGGGGGTTACTCCTTATCCAGAATGTTTATCATTGTTACTGGATTATCTTCTAAATAACAAACGTTTATAGTTCTTATCAGCAGCTCTTGGAGTCCTGATGTGGTGTGACGTAGGATAAGCACTGTGCTGCTAAATGCAATATTGGTGGCTCCTCAGAAACTGTGTTTGGGGAACCAACTCGACGGCACTTAGCAGCAACATAGACAGGTCTTAGAATCGCCTTCCTCTCTATAAATTTGTGGCCTCCTGTTTGGGAATATTGATTTTGCAAATATTTTTCTCATTAGTTTCTAGAAGTCCAGGATTCAAAAATGGGAAGACCACCACAAAAAAACAAAAACAAAAAAAAGCACGCACACACACAACTGTGACCCTTCATAATCAGTGAGACACTTAAACAGCAAACTATAATTAGTTGACTTGTGTTATGTAAAAGATGTGCTTTATTAGGAAGATGGCTAAGCGTTAAGGAAAGGCATTACCCGGTGTCTTAGGGTAGAGGAAAGGTTTGAAAAGGATCTTGTTAGAATTAGGCCTTCCTACAGGATGTGAGGATGACCACAGAGGGTGGGTTTAAATGAAAGCAGACCAAGGTTATGAAATACATGATTATGAGATTGGTGAGAAGCAGTTTGCTCTAGGATATCATTTGTAATGGGAGAAGTAAATTGGAACCCCAAAGTGAAACTCCTAATTGTTGAGCCCATTGGTTAGCTTTTATATACTCCATGGGGGAACTGTAAAGGTCTTGGGGAGTCTATTCATGGCAATTTTAAAATTATGTAACAGTTACAACATTATATTGTTATGTTCTCCTCTACTAGTCCTCCGAATTCTTTATAGGTCATGGCCTGGTTTACAAATGTTTGAATCCTTAGATATGATGGAGTCACTGATTAGAGTTAAGACTTGGAAAGCATTGGTTGGATGATTGACTAATCACAAGCAAGGCGGAATCAGGAGAGAGTTAGACAGTCTCCTCTGGTTGTGGTTTTACTCGTTTGTGGTTACAGACCTCCCTGAAAGTGTGTGAATGAGAACATTTGGCTTACAATTTCATGGTATTTGTGGACTCCTGAAGCCGTTCTGGATTATTCCTGGGTCAGAATCCCTCCTCAGGAATACACATTCACCACCAAGCCACACCTTGAACAACTACTGTCTGTTATTAGGTATTTAAATATTAGGTTATGATTGGGTCTCTTTCTTGTACTTGACCCTTAGGGAGGATGGGTCAAGTAGCTGATCTGTCCATGAAGAAAAGAAACATTTCCTTACAATGATTAAGGTAAAATTTTGCAGGTCTGTAAAGACAGTAGACCATTTTGCTTCAGTAAATCAGTACCCAAGAAGCAACAACTTAAGGAGAACCTGGCAGTTTTGAGTTTGAGTTTAACAAGTGAGTCCAGGATCACCCTGGGCTCGATGATTTGCTAGAACGATTCATGGGGCCCAGAAAAGCTGTTATACTCATGGTTTGTGGTTAAATGCAGTGAAGGATACAGTTGAGTAGAAAGAAAGAGGTGCATGAGGTGAAGTCCAGCAGAAACCAGGCATGAGTCTCCAGGTATCCCTCTATCAGTGAAGTGCAGGGATTTACTTGTTTCTCTCAGTAGTGTTGTGTGACAGTATGTATAGAGTGCTGCCAACCAGGGAAACTCATTTATTAAAAAGATAATCAGAGTTTTAATTGGGAGTCAGTTGCATAGGTTAATGGTTGTTGTTGTTAAGTGCCATGGAGTCAGTTCCAATTCAGGAGGAGAAGCTGGGGAATTTGAACCACCAATCTTGTAGTCAAGTGCTTATCCTATGGTACCACATCAGCTACAGTTCCCCCAAGAACAGTAAAAGGTAATTGCCATCACATTGCAAGCATAAACTGTCAGATGGAACTACTAGTACCCGTGACCTAAGGCTTCAGGCATATAGAACATTTTTCTAAGGCAGAATATGTCAAAGGCTCAAAGCTCACAAAGGATGTCTTGAAGACAGGCCTTTTTTGGGAATGTTCAAGGTTTAAGCAACCCATGCCTGCCGAGTTAGCCCTTTGCTGCACAGTAGCTGTTTAGGGAGTTAGCTTTCTTCTGGCCTATATGCCTTGTTGTTGTTAAGTGCCATCGAGTCGGTTCCGACCCATAGCGATCCTGTATAGGGTTTCCAGGGAGCTGCTGGTGAGCTTGAACTGCCAACCTTGCCGTTCAAACAACTTTGCTGTCTGGCGCATTAACCCACAGCCCCACACCAGGACTCCAGCCTATATGCCTAGCTTCTCCTTTTTTAGATACAATGAACCTTTCGGGTCTCATCAGAGAAGTTTTTGTATGCTGATAGCTATATACCAGAATTAATGGTAGGTGGTGGCTTTACATAGATGAGTAGTACAAGTCTTTTGCCTTGAGGAACATATATTTACATAGGGGAGAGAAGAACAAAATCGTGATGTTTGTGATATTGGTAAATGGTGTATGCTTAGCTGCTAACTGAAAGGTGGGCCGTTCAGTTTCACAGTAGGAAGAAAATAGCCTTGGATCTTTTTCTGTGTTTCAACTTTAGTGATAATGAAAGCTGCAAGTGCCTGTCCTTCACAGTAACGTCAACACCTTACCGCATCACACCTAACATCATTGGAGCATGGCTGAAAGTGTTTGTATCTGTGTATATGGGAAGGTGTTGGCGATAATTAGGGCATGACTTACTTAAAGATGTCACTCTTGGAGTTGAGCCATAAAGATTGTGAATAGATGCAAGTGGACATGGAGGTGAATATTTCTGCAGTCATATCTGTAGTCAGCTGGTTTTAGTGGTTGAAGCCTATTGGTACTATCTGCTTGCCTTCACGCAGAAAGAACCCTAATCCTAGCTAGAAGTCTGTCTTTCTTAGGTGTATCCATAAGGGGAAAAGAGATGGGTTCATCATTACTCCATGAGCATAAATTCCTTCAAATGATCATTTCCTAAAATACAGTGAGTACTAATAGTGTTTTCCTACATTATTCATCAGTGAGGGAGGATATGGTTACATACTTTGGGACTGAAAAGAACAAGTATAACTATTAAAATTTAAGTACACTTTGTTTCAAATGTGAGGACCTTACCTGGGTGAATACATGTATAACTGACATAGACTTTTCTGTATTTGGAAGAAAAAATTTTGAGGAAAAAGGAAAAATCATGTGAATCCAAATTTTGTCATCCTTCTCTAGGCTTATATCTTTCAACAGAATTCAGAAATTCTCAGAGTAACGGGGTTTTATGTTTTGAGTGGCGTGCAGAAATTGTGACTATAATAGAATCCGGAATGTTTTGTTGTAGTGAACGTTGGATGAGCCTAACCTTGAGATCTTTTTCTAACAGAATCTTGTTCTCTTCCAGCGTTGCAGTGTTTCTGCCACCTCTGTACAAAAGACAATTTTACATGTGTGACAGACGGGCTCTGTTTTGTGTCGGTCACAGAGACCACAGACAAAGTTATACACAATAGCATGTGTATAGCGGAAATCGACCTCATTCCCCGAGACAGGCCATTTGTATGTGCTCCTTCTTCAAAAGGTGACGTTACTACTACAACATATTGCTGCAAGCATGACCATTGCAATAAAATAGAACTCCCAACTACTGGTAAGTTGCTGTAAAAGACTTTTTCATGATACTGTAGAAAAGCTCTGAGAGTCTGACTGTAATTTTAGGACTGGAAGGGATCTTAGAAATCATCTGTTCAGTTTCGAGGCAAGACGTGGCTTGTCTATACCTGCCTAGTTATAAAGAGTGCTCAGGATCTTGACTTTCTCTGAAGCCTGCTGTTCCCAAACAGTCCGTCTTTTAGAAGAGGTTTATGACAAAAGTCCACAGCAGCGCTGGATCCTCGTCATGTCCTCGTCATTCACCTCAGGGTGAATTTGTTCTCCTGTAACGTCTTCCTACCTTTTGAAGTAGTCAACAGCTTTTTTTTAAAGATGGGAGATTAAGAATAGCACTAAATAGTTCAAGTGACTTCATTTTACTTTATGATCTGTTTATGCAAATTATTATTATTAGGAACCTTTTTTACTCATAGTTTAGGAACCCTGGTGGTACTTTGGGTTAGTCATTGGGCTGCTAACTCTGGGGTCAGTTCAAACCCACAAGTCAGTCTTTGGGAAAAATATGAAGCTAGCTTCTCCCATAAAATTTTGTAGTCTATATATGTAGACCCTTTATAGGATCACTGAGTCAAAATTGACTTGATGGCATTATGGGAATAGTTTAGGTTCAGTGGTAAGCACTTGGCTGCATTCTGAAAGGTTGGTAGTGTGAACCTACCAGCTACTTCATGGGAGAAAGGTGTGCTAGTTTGCAGCCTTGGGTACTCCTTAGGGGAGTTCACTCTTCTGGTGTGGCGGGTGTTAGTTTTAATGGACTCTACAGCAGTGGTCAGCAGTTTGAAACTACCAGCTGCTCCGCGGGAGAAAGATGAGGCGTTCTGCTCCCGTGAAGATTTATAGCCTGGGAAACCCTGTACAGGGTCGCTATGGGTCGGAACCGACTCCATGGCACATACCAACAACAACAGCAGTGGGTTCTAACGGGCACCCATAGTTTATTTTAAAATGTTATAGCAGAAACAGCAATTTGAAGGCTACAAAAGCTCAGGGCTAGATTAATTTGAAGGTTGAGCCTATGTGTTGAACATTCTCCCCCAAGTTCCCCAATTCTCAGTATAATCAAAGTAATATAAAAATGAGGAATACTTGCATCACTACTAGGAGAATTAATGGAAGAATGCTACCCACACACCAGTACTTTTGAGGAACTTCTATAGTTGGTAGTGTGGTGGTGGTGGTGGTTATGTGCTGTTGAGTCAGTTCTGACTCATAGCAACCCTGTATAAGATTTCTGAGCCTATAAATCTTTATAGGAGCAAGCAGGAAGTCTCATCTGTCTCCTGAGAAGCTGCTGGTGGATATGATTTGATGACCTTGCAGTTGGTAGTATAGATAGCACCATATGAGACGACGTGACCACAGACCTCTTGCAAAATCCCACCAATCCCTTAATTAAGCTGAGGAGTTAAGAGTAAGGTTAGACCACAGGGACGAACTCTTGATAATCCTTTAAAACATTTGATCTCAACTGCTGAGAGGGGTGAATCACAGTGTTCACGTTTCACTCGTAGTTGGGCCAGGCACCCTGCTCATTACAGGAGGAAACACTGCTATGGCTCAGAGGGAAGTGGCCCATTCTACCAGTTACAGCAGGGAGGCAGTCATCTGCCCAGGTCAAATGATAATAGTACAGTAAGACCACAGCTTTAGCACCATGAAGAAGCGCGTCATGGTCAGGCTCTGGCAGACGCAGTTCTCCCTTCCTTTTTATGTTGTTGGTAAGTGCTGTCTAGGTTATTTGGACTGTTAGCAACCCTGTGTATGGTCTCTGAGGCTAGAGCAAATAGCCTCAGTCTTTCTCCTGTGGAGTGGCTGTGGTGGGCTTGGACTGCCAGCCTTGTGGTTCACAGTTAGTGTTTATACTACAGAATCAGCAATTCTACTGTGGCAAAGCAAATGATATTTCCAAATTTTCCCATTTCCAACTTTGGGATTTGAAAGATTGAATGGAGATTCACAAAGCCTTGTAAAGAACTCACCTCATTTCATATGGTAAACAAATATAAACTTCTCTTTCTCAATTTATTATCATTCTTATTATCTTAATAAGCAAACAGCTAAAGACCAAATGAAAAGATTCAGTGATTCAAAAGAAGTAGAACTGGATAAATCAGAGTGGGTACCAACCCATGAAATAGGCTTTTACATTAAGATAGGGACTCCTTGTGTGGTACTGTGGGATAAATACTGGACTGCTAACTTGCAACCCTATACAGGGTCACTGAGTCGGAATCCACTTGACAGCACTTCGTAACAAGCAGGGAAAACTTGGAGACGTCCAAGTCCTATTTTCAGTTGTTCTCTGTGAAATAAGAACATTCCAAAGAAAAGCTCGATTGATGAATGTTTCCTAAAATGCAGTATTGCTAGTGAACTGCAGTCTGGACACTTACAGACAAGCTTGAGGAATTGAGTTATATATAATTCAGAGAAAAAGACAATCCATGACCAAGCTGAAACATAGAAGTACTTTGTGATTCAGTACATTTACTATTAGAATTACAGAGAAAGACTTAAGAGCTGGCAGAAGAGATAAGAATATCAGGCAAAAAAAGCCTTACCCAAATATATATGCTGAAGAAATTGATCAATTTCAAGAGTAAAGAAAAAAAGTTCCTTTAGTTTTTAAGCCCAAGAAAATAGTGGTACAAAGGATTTTTACCTTGCTAAATGCCTGAAGACAGTGGGACAGCATATATTGACTGTCACCCAAATTGTTTGAGTAAGTTAAGCTATTGTTGATATCCAATGAGGCAGTGGCATTTTTGTTGTTGTTAAGTGCCTTTCAGGTTGCTTCTGACTCATAGCAGTCCTGTATAGGATTTCCAAGGAACAGCTGGTGGGTTTGAATCACTGACCTTGTGATTAGCAGTCCAGTGCTTATCCTACAGCACCACACTAGGACTCTGTGGACATTTTTAGACATGAACTATTCAGTATACAAGGACCTATGTACTCTTCCTAAAAGAAAGTACTAGAAATAGGATTATTATAGATTAAGAAATAGGATTATTATAGATTAAGAAATAGGATTATTATAGATTAAGAGCATAAAAGTGAGAAAGGTGTGACATGAAAGAAATGATGGTGAGCAGTGTAATCTAGCAAGGCTCAGGGTGAATGTGAACGTAATTGTAATGAATGTGCTTCTCAGAAATGCAAAATAGGAATTATTAAAAGAGATTCTTTATAAGAAATTAATCTAGATATAAGAGTCCATCCAGATGGTTGAATAGACTACACAATATATACATGCAAGCTCTATTTCTTTTTAAAAGCAAGCAAAGAAGAAAGATATATAAAGGTAAGAAACAAACTGGTAGACAAGTGTACTAAAATAGGAGTTATTTTGGGATAGTGAGGCTTTATGTAGTTTTTAGTTGTACATTTTGTTCATCGTTCATCGGTATTTACATTTATTTCCTGCTGTGAGCATGTACTGGCCTAGGGATAAGAAGACAAGCCAAACGTTGTTAATGAAAATGAAGGGCTTCCAGGGCTGCTGTTTGGAGTTGTTGCCGGTGAATGGTTGCTTTATTAGTGACTTGAGGGGGATAAGTGCTGAGGTCCTAGAATGGCACCAATGGCTGGCCTTGTGATCTAGACGATGATTGGAAAATATAGGAAGAGTAAATAGGTGTCAGGACCAATGATCCTAAAATAAAGGACCAGAGAGAAGACTGTATGAATCTGGGTTTGAGGCCTGTGTCCTTTTGTCTGACTGAGTGGTGGCCGTCACACTGCGGGAAATGTCGAGAATCAGCACAATGTGGATGCCACTTGCAATGTTTGTGGTACTGTTGATGTTGATTTCATTTTGGGCCCATTTTCAGGAAAGCCGCCATCCGGCCTTGGTCCAGTCCAGCTGGCAGCTGTCATTGCTGGACCAGTGTGCTTTGTGTGCATCTCACTCATGCTGATGGTCTATATCTGCCATAACCGCACTGTCATTCACCATCGAGTACCAAATGAAGAGGACCCTTCACTTGATCGCCCTTTCATTTCAGAGGGAACCACATTAAAAGATTTAATTTATGATATGACAACATCAGGCTCTGGATCAGGTAAGGTAATGTTTTTCCTAAGGAAAAGATGAACTCTAGTCTTTCTCTTATTGGAGCTTCTGGGTGGTTTGAACAGTTAAGTGCTGGGCTAATAACTGAAAGGTTGGCATTGGAACCCAGTCCCTGGGGAGTTGCTTCCAGAAGATCACTGCCACAAAAACCCTATGGAGTGCAAGTCTACTCTTAACACATAGGGTTGGGTTGCCATTGGTCAGAATTGACTTGACAGAAACTGGTTTGTTTTATGGATTTATTTTTAGTTGTTTCTTGTTTGTTTTATAAATAAGTAAATTGTTGACTTAGTTTGTTTAAAACTTGAAGTAGTGTGACCCATATTCCAGGTTTGAGTGTAATAAGGTCTTTAGGCTTGGTCTGTTTCTAAGTATGGCTACTTAGAGTGCAGATAGAGTGGAACTTTTATTGTTATGATAAATCAATAAGTCAGCTCCACGATTGTACGCATTTCAGAGCATTTTCACCTACATAACCTCATTTGCTTCTTGGAACAATGTGAGAGAAAGAATAAGGACAATTCCTCTCATGGCGAGGCTCAAAGATGGTCAAGTGATCTGCCCTTGATTTGATGTAGCTACCCATTCTATTCAGGGGTGGTTAGCAACATTATTTTTATATTTGAAAGTAGGTGTGACAAAATTGTTTTTGGAATTGTCAAGGTTATTTGCTTTTTTAGCATGGTACAGAATTGCTATTTTCAACTCAGACTTAAATTATTTTTAATTAATTAATTCTTAAGTCATTTTCTCACTTAAGGAAGAAACCCAACTGACTTATTGGTTACAATAGTTTTGTGGATCCTTAACCTCTGTGATGTTTGTTTTTCTCAGTTGTGTTTGTTGATTTTTGTGAGATCATAAATAGACTGGCTAAATGCCAAAATCATCCCCTCAAGTGGATTTTGGCATAGCAATGCTTTGTATTTAAGCTAAAGGGTAATTATCGTTTATTTGTTTATTTTGCATGTAGTTGGAATGATACTAAGAGAGGAGCGTTTCTATTGGAATAGAATACTACCAGAATTTATAGTATCCAATCTAAGCTTTATCATTGATTTGCTCTATAACCTTATCTAAACCATGTTTCTCCTCTTTGGGCTTTTGTTTCTTCATCAGTAAAAAGGCAACGGTTACTGTAATACTTGAAGGTTTGTTAGGACTCTTAATTGATGTAGGCTATCCATTGAAAAAGAAACCCGGGTGGTGCTTTGGGTTAGATGTTGGGCTGCTAACACCAGGTTGGCAGTTCAAGCCCACCAACCACACCATGGGAAAAAGATGAGACCGTCTGCTCCATAAAGCTTATTACATTCTCGGAAATCTTCCACAGGGCCCCTGTGAGTCTGAATCGACTCAGTGGCTGCAGGCTTGTTTGGGGGTTTATCCTTTGAACAGTATAAGTCTAAATAAATGCATGTGTAAAATGAAGTTTTGAAAATACATCTAATGAAAATCGCACTCATTTTATAATCAGGTAGCATTAAAAGATCTGGCTTTTCCTGGAAAATTCTTTTGGATCAAAAGTGTGATAACCAACAACCAGTCACAGAAAATCCAGGTGGCGATTTAATTCCTTGGGCCAATTCTGTTGGTACCAAACTTACAACCAGGAAAATCAAAGAACTTTTGCCACTTCATGTGATGACATGTATTAAGTAAGCCTGGAGAGGGACAAATCCACCTAAATGAGTAAAGAAATTGCTGCATGAATGGCAATTGTTTTCTGAGTAAGCTTCTAGTTGTTTACTTTGAAGCATAGAAATGAAATACAGAAGTGGGATGAGTTGTTTTTCTACCATATTTGTATTTCTAGATCCATCAAGGATCACAGCTTTCTATTGTCTGAAAACTTCTCTTCCTCCTTTGATGCCTTAGTGCTCAAAAGCTGGCTTTCTGGTTTTCTAGCTCTTTGACGTTCCTTTGGGCAGATAGCTGATATCTCAGACCTGAGTTACTTCATCTTTAAAATCAAAGTGGTGATCCCTGCCTTTTGTCTGCCATTGGGTTATTTTGAGGTTGGAATGATATACGATGTTTTTTTGAAAGTACTGATAAAGTTTTGTCCAAATGGCAGGTGTTACTCTGATTGAAAAGTTGTTTGGAATAAAGCTCTGAGACATGCAATATCAGTTTGCTTCATTGTCAGAAAAGCTTAAGTGTGAAGGCATCCTTTAAGCTGTATGTTCATTGTGTGCTAAATGTCCTCAGAATTTATCCCGGCAGAAACTACCTTCTGTTGAATGATAGCAGAAAATGCCATCTGTTTCCTTTCTAGTTGTTAGAAAGTCTTCATGCTACCCTGTGCCGGGAACTGGTGCTTGTAAGTAAAGTCCTGCTACCTCTGAGCCTCGGTTCTGGCAGCATGAACCTTGAAGATCCCTAATCCTTGACTTGGATCACTACTGTGCTTGTACCCATGCATAAGCTGTGATTCCAGTGGAAAGTGCATCTATGAGGGTACACGTGTGTGCTCGCTTTTGGAAGAGTCTCTTAGATCAGTGTTTGTTTTGTCCCCTGCATGTTTATGATCTCTTGTAATGATGCATGTTGTTCAGGAATTACTTCAGTTGTCCATGGTATGTGAAGTGATGCAGGCCCTGTCTTCCCTGCTCACGTTTTCTCTTAAGCAGTTCTAAAGGTACTAAGAATAAATAGGTAGAGATAATAGAGGCCTACGTTCATTTTCTATAGAAGAAAATGATTGTAGTAAGTAAAGACAGATAATTTACATCTAGGTTTGCTTTGAATTTTCTATAGCTACAATCCAGTGGTAATTGGAGAAGATAAAAAACTTTGTCTTGTTAGGCTTCCTCTGTCCATACCATTTACAGAAGTCCAGAGTGAGTCAGGCATTTTCAGACTTCCCTTTTTCATCAACCCTTTTTCGTTTATTATGTGCCTTCGTAGCTTTCAGTTTAGTCTACTGAAATTAACTCTTAAGAACACTTGAAGTTTGTACCTGGTTAGTCTTGAAACTAAACAACATAATTATGAATTGATTCGTCATAGTACAGAAGAGTCCCTTAATTCAAATAAACATTTCTTATAGCTATTTTTGCTGTTAGTCTCATTATAAAAATAGTTGTTCATAATTAGACTATGGACTGCTTTGTGGGAGGCATGGACGACAGAGCAAGGGGAGGAAAGAACCTATTGAAACTTACAGGTGAAAAGAGAAAAACTTTTGATTACTTTAAAATATTTTACATTTGAATTTATAAGTAGTTTCATGTTAGGGAACCCAAGAGAGCAGATCATTTCAGTGGAAAAGAGGAAGACCCTCAACAAGACGAGCTGACACAGTGGCTGCAACAATGGGCTCAGACAACAATTGAGAGGATGGTATAGCACTGGGCAGTGTTTGGTTCTGTTGTGTAAAGTCACTGTGAGTCAGAACTGGTTTGATGCACCTAATAATAACATTCTCGAGCTACCAAACCAAAAAGAACTGGTCAACGTTCACCTTTTTTTAAGAAGTAGTGTATGATCAAGAACCATGGTACTGATGGAAGAAGTCCAAGTTGCACTGAAGGCATTAGTGAAAATCAGGACTCCAGGAATTGACAGACTAGGATACCAATGGAAATGTCTTTATCAAATGGATGCAGCTGGAAGTGCTCATTTGTCTGTGCCAAAAATTTGAAAGATGGCTACCTGGCCAACTGACTGGAAAACAAAGATCCATATTTGTGCCCATTCAAAATAAAAGATTATCCAACAGAATGCAGAAATTATCCAACACTATGGGTTACTGCGTTGGAATACAAAATTGGTTTGAACTGCGTGGTCAGTGATTCAGGCTCACCAGCTGCTCCCTAGAAACCCTATACAGGGATGATATGGGTCAGAACTGACTCAACAACACTTACCAGTAACAACAACAACAACAACCGTTAATATCACACTCAAGTAAAATTTTGATGAAGATAATGAAAAAACGATTGCAGCAATATATCAACAGAGAACTGCCAGAAAGTTAAAACAGATTCAGGAGATTTGGAATGAGGGATATCATTGCTGACATCAGGTGGATATTAGCTAAAAGCAAAGAAACCCAGAATGATGTTTACCTGTGTTTTATTGACTTTGTAAAAGTATTTGACTGTGTGGCTCATAACACTTTATAGATAACATCACAAAGAATGGGAATTCCTGAACATTTAATTGTGCTCATGAAGAAGCAAGAGGCAGTCATTCAAACAGAACAAGGGGATAGTACGTGGTTTACAATCAGGAAAGACAGATGTGTTCCAGAGTTTTATCCTTTCACCGTACTTATTCTTTATGCAGAGCAAATAATTCAAGAAGCTGCTCGAATATAGGAAGAAGAACATAGCATCAAGATTGGAGGAAGACTCATTAATCTGCCATAGCAGATGAGGAGTAATGGTGTGGCATAGTAGGATTAACAGTGGACTGTTAACCACTAGGTTGGCAGCTCAAACCCACTAGCCATTCCTTGGAAACTTTATAAAGGGTTGCTATGCATTGGAACCTACTCAACGGCATTTAACAGCAATAGCAGTGTAAAGCAGATGGTACAACTTTGTCTGCTTAAAGCAAAGAGGACCTAAAGCACTTAATGCCAGGCAAAGACTACAGTCTTCAGTAAGGATTACACCTCAACATAAAGAAAACAAAAATCCTCACAACTGGACTAATAAAAGCAGCGTCATGTAAAATGAAGAAAAGATTAAAGTTGTCATGTATTTCATTTTACTTGGATCCATAGTCAGCATCCATGGAAGCAGAAGTCAAGAAATCAAACCACATATTGAATTGGACAAATCTGCTGCAAAAGATCTCTAACGTGTTAAAAAGCAAAGGTGTCACTTTGAAGATTATGGTCTGCCTGACCCATTCTGTAATATTTTTAATTGCATCATATGCATGCAAATGCTGGACAATAAATAAGGAAGAATGGACAAGAATTGATGCATTGAATTATGGTCTTAGTAAAGAATATTGAACATATCATAGACTGCCAGAAGAATGAACAAATCTGCTTTAGAAGAAGTACTGTCTGTATGCTCCTTAGAAGCGAGGATGGCAAGACTTTGTCATCTCACGTACTTTTGACATGTTATCATAAGAGACCCTAGAAAAGAATATGCTTGGTATTATAGAGGATCAATGAAAAAGAGGGAGACCCTCAAAGATGGATTGACACAGTGGCTACAATGGGTTCAGATAAAGGAATGGTTGTGAGGCTGGCACAGGACTGGTCAGTGTTTCATTTCACTCTGTTGTCATTAGAGTGGCTAGGAACTGGAACTAACATGATGGCACCTAACAAACAACCACATTATTGAGTTAATTTGATCCAGAAAGCAACCCTGAATATAGATTACAAATGGCACAAATTGATGTGTACGTTTCAGCTGCTTGTAGGTGCCTTCGAGTTGGTATTGACTCAGCAATCCATGCACAACAGAGCAAAGCACTGGTCAGTCCTGAGCCATCCGCACACTTGTAAGTTTGTATCCCATTGCTGCTGCCACAGTGTCAGTCCATTTCGTTGAGGACTTTCCTCTTTTTCGCTGACCCTCCACTTTACCAAGCATGATGTCCTTCTCCAGGGACTGGTCCCTTCTGATAACATGTCCGAAATGAAAGATGAAGTGTATATTTGTTGTTGTAATGTGCCGTGGAGTTGGTTCCGACTCATAGTGACCCTCCGTACAGGGTTTCTGAGGCTGTAAATCTTTATGGAAGCAGAAAACCTCATCTTTCTCCTGCGGAACAGCTGGTAGTTTCAAACTGCTGACCTTAAGGTTCGCAGCCTGTTTCGTAACCACTACGCTACCAGAGCTCCTTATGAAGTGTATATAGATTGAATAAATAAAATGTTAGTATAAAACATCATGTTCATTGCTATTTTATTTGCTAGTGTCAGTATAATGTAAGGTAATAATTCTTGAGTGGATATATGTTGCCATCAGTTGATTTTTAACTCCTAGTAACCCTATAGGAAAGAAAAAAACTGCCTCTTAGTGTTTCCAAGGCTTGTGAATCTTTACAAGACTGCCACGTCTTTCTCCTGTGGAGCATCTGGTGGATAGAAGGTTCAAGCCACTGCCTATTCGATTAGTAGCCGATTGTGTAATTAGTGAATTAGAACTAATGATTTTATGTGAATTAGAATTGTCTTTAATAAAGTATTACTTAAATATTCTAAGTAGCTAAAATGTTTTTCTGCAAATGAAATTAGTGTGGCAATGTTTCGAAATATGAAATAGGTAAGTTGAATTAATACAAAAGCAGAAATGCCCCATTACCAAGTTATTTGATGCTTGTTCCTTAGGGTACTGGTGTTGCTTGAGTAGCCAGTTACAAGTAAATTGCTTGCCGTGAAATGGTTTCTGTAGTGGCTTCTTTTCTTTTCCCTCTAGTAAAACTATTTCCAGAATTGTCATTCTAAAGTAAGGTACTTTAATTTTTTTCTCCCAGTCAAAGCTCTAATGTTCCTCTTCACCTACAGTTCTCATTGGCCATCTTGAGCCTAGCACTCAGGACTCTCCATGTCCTTATGCCACACTCAATCTCCTTTTGCTTATTGTCTAAGCAGTCTCCTGGACATGAGTTACTAATTCCTTTCTACCTTTGCTTGCATCTCTCTCCTATCTAAACGCTTGACCTTTGCCTCTGTTCATTCCTTTGGTTCTGTCCCTTCTGTAAAGGATAAACCTATATTCCACTTACTTTATAGAGCCCACCTGGACTTCGTAGGCAAGACTCTGGATTCCTTTATTGTGTTTCTTGACTTCTTTTCAATTTATCATTATTTTGATGCAAATATACTTTCAATCTATTCCCACAGTTAGTTAGATTGCAAATTCCTTTAAAAGTTGATCTGAAAGGAGTTACACTTTTCTGAATCATTCTTTAGTGCCTATCATGTGTTGAAAGCATGGTTTGGTTGATCATATTGGCTGATCATTTTTATCTTTAGGTTTACCATTACTGGTTCAGAGAACAATCGCAAGAACTATTGTGTTACAAGAAAGCATTGGCAAAGGTCGCTTTGGAGAAGTTTGGCGAGGAAAGTGGCGGGGAGAAGAAGTTGCTGTTAAAATATTTTCATCAAGAGAAGAACGCTCCTGGTTTCGTGAGGCAGAGATTTATCAAACTGTAATGCTACGTCATGAAAACATTCTCGGGTTTATAGCTGCAGACAATAAAGGTTAGTAACATGTGCTTTTTCCATATACTGATGAACATAACAAAATCTGCCTACATTCATTTATGGCTCTGCCTACTAAACATTACCAATTTTAGTGAGAAATAGATATTTGTCATAGATTAAGTTCATGAAGTCAAAACAGACTATATTAGACACCTTTAGAAACAGGAACTCCTTAAAGATAATCTGGCTCCTGACAACATGTTCCTAAATCTAAAAGGGTTTTGTAAAATAGAAACACCTGGGGAGGGAAGGGGTTTGGTGGTGCAAGGGGAGTACCTTTGTTATTTTAGTTCAAAGTAGTTATTGAGTATAGTCATAATATAGAAAAAGTATGAAGGAGCTTTAAAAAGTTGATGGAAAAATGTAGTTGAAAGATAATAGACTATTTCCACCAACTTTTTAAAAACCTTTTCATTGTGAATCGAGTGAAGGTTTACAGGGCTTTACACCAGCTTTACATTCAGCAGGCCACACACTTGCAGTCTCCTCAGTGCAACATCTCTTACCCCACTTCCTCCCTGTGTGGCTTTTCTCTATTCTCCTGCTTTCTTAACCCTTGTGAGTTTTGTCCTTAGGTAAACGCTGTCCTTCTGATTTTGAACGGTTGACCTTTCTGTTGTGTTCATACCTCACTTTGATGTCTCTCTGTATATACCTATCTAGTGCTTGGCTGAAAAATGAGCCACAGGAACGACTGAGGCGGGCTGACCATTAAGCTTGGTTGTTTTGTTTTTTTTTTATGATTTTGAGTTCTGGTCCACATGTTCTTCCACTTTATCTAGGACTTTCTGATGTGATGATCAAGCAGTTGGTAGTGCTAGCCAGGCACCATCTAGTTCTTCTGGTCTCAGGGCTATGGAGACTGATGTCCACATGGTCCATTAGTTCATTGGACTCATTGTTTCCAAGTGTTTTCAGTTTCTAGTAGCTGCACCTTAGATGGCCACACATGAACTTTTAAGCTACCACTTGCTACTCACCAAAGTAGGATGTAGAATGTTGCTTTTGTGGATTATGTTATGCCAGTTGAGATTTCCACTAACTTTTGGAAGCCTTCTCATCTCTTCTTGATGCATAGGATTTTTCAGTGTATTCTGTGTTCTAAGTCATCAGGTATGTTCCTATTCAGGTTTTATTATAGTCCCCAAATTGCATAATTAGGCTTCTGTCACATCCCATCATGAGACATGTGTGACTGTCTCTTTTTTTGTGATGTTGGGGGAAGTGATGAATGTGACAATAAAGATAATGATTATCAGTGGACACTAAACATTTGTGAAAACGCTAAACAAAAGCAGTAATCTGAGTCTGACCAAATCCTTAGCTCTCACTTTCTTTTGTATTTGACACCATTTAGCTTCTTCCTGACTTTACTTAAGTAATGTGACCATGGGCTTTTTGTTGTCGTTTATTCTTAATTTTTATCTTTGAACTCTTCCTCTTCATACTGATTAGTATGAAGGCTCTAATTCTACAAATAGTAATTACTGTACTCCCATAAGTAACTTACCCTGGTGGTAACTTTTAAGTCTTCATTCTGAGACTTGAACCTGCCCATCTAAAGCATGTCCTAAGTTACAAACAGACAATACAGGCACAGAGCAGTGCTACTGAAGCCTGACTTTCTCTTCACATTTGTTCAAGTAGCACTCAAGCTAGTGCTGCCATCTGCTGGTCACAATGGGAACTAACAGCCTCCACTTGCTCTTCCCAGCATCTGTTTTCTTCTTTGTCAGTGGATAAGGAAACTTTGCTCAGAATCTAGTCCTTCCGCTCTACTTCCCTTCTTCCCTGACTTTGTTTGGTTTTTTGTTTGTTAATTCCCTCCTAGGGAATCCTTTATATGCATATAGCCATGTAGGTGTCTTCTTCCTTCTGCCTGTCTTGTCACTTACCTCAAGAAAAGAGCCCTGTTTCTTATGTTTGTGAGCCTTTCAAAATTCAGTCATGGTTAATAAGCATGCAAATAAGCAACATTATGATAAATAAAGAAAAGATTGATGTTGTCAAAGACTTCATGTTGCTTGGAACCACTATCAACACTCCTGGAAGCAGCAGTCAAGAAATCAAATGACATGTATTATATCAGGCAGATGTGCTACACAAGACCTCTTTAAAGTGTTCAAGAGCAAAGGACTAATTTGTGCCTGTCCCAAGCCATAATATTTTTAATAGCTTCATATGCATGTGAAGGTTGGACAGTGAGTAAGGAAGACCACAGAGATATTGCTAGATTTGAGTTAATGGGGTTGGAGGAGAATATTAAAAGTACCATGAACTTCCAGAAGGAAAATTAAGTCTCTGCTGGAAGAAATACAACCAGAATACTCCTTAGAAGCCAGGATGGCCAGACTTTGTCTCTCATACTCTGGATGTATTATTAGGAAGTGCCAGTCCCTGGAGAAGGAATACATCACGCTTGGCAAAGTGGAGGGTCAATGAAAAAGAGGAAGATCCCCAACAAGATGGATTTGCACAGTGGCAGCAGCAGTGGGCTCAAGGGTAACAGTTATGAGAATGGTTCAAGACCAGGCAGTGTTCTGTTCTGTTATGCATGGGATTTTTATGAGTCAGAACTGGCTTGATATGTTACCCAACAGCACAAGCAGAATAAGGCTGCTGGGCACGTGTATCATGGAATAGAAAATGTACAAGTTTGGACAGAGTCCATTTCTAGAGTTTATAGAGAAAAAGTTTATAGAGAACCTTGTTGTTGTTAAGTACTGTCAAGTTGATTTCGACTCATAGTGACCCTGTAAGTCAAAGAAGAAACAGGTTTGGTTAGTTAAGAAACTTGTCTAAGGTCACATGGTCAATAACAGCTAGGCCCTGGATTCCAACCCCAGGCCAGAATAACTCCAAGTGTACATCTGCTACTGAATCATGCTGCCTCCTCGTACTGTGGCATTGCTTTATTAATTCACTATTTCATTCAATATATCGTTCTCCATATTTGGCTTTTAGATTAGATAGGCTTTCAAGAACCAGCCTAGGAATCTAACTAGAACCTTTACCATTATTCCTATGGGAAAACACATTTCAAATTCATGTACCAGCTTAAAAATGAACTTTCAGAACAAATATTCAAAATCACCTTGTGTCAGATTTCATTCATTCCCCATTATTTTTCTTCTTTCTTGACAGTTCAGTTCCTATCTTAGCATCCACCCTCCACCCCACGCCCCCATGTTGGTGGTACCACTACTTATGATGTTTATCAAAGCCAGAATCATAATCATGTTTCTTTGTAAACTGTGTACATACATAATCTTAAACTGAAATTCATTATTTCATCATTTAAATATGTTTGTAGTTTTGTCCCATAATGTTCCATTCTCTCTGGGACCATACTAGGCTCCAGATGTGTTCCATTCACACTCTTCCACCTTTCCTTTTTGCTTTTTCTTCTTTCTACTTCCCCAAAACAACTTCTGCACACTTACCCTGAACGAGGCATTTTTCTAAGCACTAAGGATTTCCAGCTCTGCTACTGTGTAACCTAAAGAAAATCTCTATCTCTGAAATACAATTTCATATTTCTAGATTGGTAAGGTGACTGTCTTTTTGCACAAATAATGTGCATGTGTTACTCTTTTTTTTTTTTTTTTTATTGTGAATTATGTGATAGTTTACATGGGAGAACATTACTTTTACATTCATCCTATTGTATATCGTTTCGTTGCCATGGTTACGATCCACTCCATGCATCCTCAACCAACCAAAGGGTATACCCTGCAAGCCTGCCCCTGGTCGTTGTTTTACTCTTTTTTTTTTTTGCAAACTGTACAACCCCCTCGTGGGCTGGTTTCCTATGGACACTGCATGTTCTGTGCATGTAGATGTTAGGCAGTCATCCAGGATTCATCTCAAGAATAGAGGGCATAAGACAAACTGAAGACATGAGAAAATATTAAAGAAATACATATAAACATAAGGTGGCAATATGTTACAGAAGTCTGATCCATCCAGGATTGACTGTAAAAGTGATAGCCTTTGAATAAATATCATAATCCAGTGGAAACATTCTTATTTTGTTTTGCAGACAATGGTACGTGGACTCAACTCTGGTTGGTATCAGATTATCATGAGCATGGATCTCTTTTTGATTACTTGAATAGATACACAGTTACTGTGGAAGGAATGATAAAACTCGCACTGTCTACAGCAAGCGGACTTGCCCATCTTCACATGGAGATTGTTGGTACCCAAGGTAATTCTTTAAGCAGTCCTGTCATTTAAGCATTAAGTTCTCATGAATATAATACCTGTTCAGAAAATTTTTGCAAGAAGTCCTCCTGGTTGGAAATGTTTTAAAACGAGTTCTTATACAAGAACATTGTATCTTCTGTTAAAAGTCTCAAGCTGAAGTTCGGAATCTGGAACTGTTCACTAATTCTCTAGTCATTGTAACAACACTGGCATTTTCCTGGGTTCTTAAAAGTAGCATCCAGTCTTGTGATCATTGGAAGAGCTGAGTTTTGGAGCTCAAGGTGAAAAGAATACATCAAGTGAAATGTGAAAGTAGTTTGTAAATGACAATTTGCTGTGTAAAGGGTATCTGGCCTTCAGGTGATAATTCTACTTGGATTCTGAGATGAGAAGACTATATGATACAGTATTAGAGCTGAAAGTTAAATAATAACTTTTCATTATGAATTATTTGGGTATGGCTTTATGCTATGTATGATGTCACATGCCGTTACCCCTCTTTGCTCTGATAATTGTCCACTTGCTCCATTGGATGCCTCCCCAACTCTGCACATGACACAGTGTACCACTTCGTTTCACATACTAGCCATTTCCATCTTTGTAATGATTATTTTTTGAATAACAGCTTTAAGATACAATGCACATACCTTACAATTTACCCATTTCAATATAGTCACAGAGTTGTACAACTTTTCGTCAGAATCAATTTGAGACTACTTTATCATACCAGAAAGAAGCTCCATACTTACCAGCAATCATGTCCCATTCCCCCCCAAATCTTCAGCCCTAGGCAACCACTAACATCATTTCTGTCTCTCCATCACCCTACCCTGGGCATCTGTGTCAGTGAAATCCTACAATATATGTGATATCTGTAGCTGGCTCCTTTCACATCATGTCTCTACTTCACCATTCTGTTCTATGGGCTATATATAAGGAAACTTCATCAGTGTGAAAAAATGGAATTCAAAGATAATTAAAATGGAATTTTTCATGAACTTTTTGAAGCCCTCTCATATATTCCATTGCATTGATATACTTACTGCATTTTGCTGATTCGTTGATCGCTAGAGATTTAGGTTGTTCCCTTTTTTATTTTTAGCTGTTATGACTATTGTATGAACATTGGTACATGAGGATTTTTTCATCATATATTTTGAATTCTCTTTGGGTATATGCCTAAGAGGAGTCCTGGTGTGGCACTGTGGGTTAATGCGCCAGACTGCAAAGCTGTTTGAACTGCAAGGTCAGCGGTTCAAGCTCACTAGTCGCTCCTCGGAAACACTATACAGGGTCGCTATGGGTCGGAATCGACTCAACGGCACTTAACAACAACAACAACAACATATGCCTAAGAGTATTCAAAACATGTATACCTAACTAGGAGTCCTGCTGTGACGCTATGGATTAATGTGCTAGACCACAAGGTCGGTGGTTCAAACTCACCAGCCACTGCTCAGAAACCCTATACAGGGTCACTCTGGGTCGGAACTGTCTTGATGGCACTTAACAGCAGCTTATACCTAAGAGTGAAATTGCTGATTCTATGATAACTCTATGTTTAACCAATTGAGAAACTGCTAGACTGATTCCAAAGTGCCTGCCATTTTATATTCCACCAATGGTATATGTTTGAAGGTTCTAATTTTCCCAAATTATTACCATTTTTTAACAGTACTTTTCCTCATGGTTAGTATTAAAGGCAGTATATTTGATACTGAGCACATTCCAGTTTCACAACTCGTCTGTCAGTGTGTTGTACTGTGGTGGCTTGTGTGTTGCTGTGATGCTGGAGCCTATGCCATCGGTATTTTAAATACCAGCAGGGTCAGCCACGTGGATAGGTGTCATCTGAGCTTCCAGACTAAGACAGACTAAGAAGAAGGAGAGGCAGAGCACTTCTGAATGTTTAGGCATTGAAGAGCAGTGGAAGCACCATCAGTGGAGCTTCTTTCTGGTATGATAAAGTAGTCTCAAATTGATTCTGACGAAAGTTGTACAACTCTGTGACTATATTGAAATGTCAACTATGATGCTGGAAGAGAAACACCGCCTCAGGTTAGGAGACACTCCCATCAGGACTGGGGAAGAGCTACCTCCTCAAAGTAGACTTAACTCTGATGATCCAAATGGAGTAAAGCTTTTGAGATCTTCATTCACTGATGGGGCACAACTCAAAATGAGGAGAAACAGCTGTAAACATCCATTGATAACAGGGAAGTGCGATGTACGAAGTATGAATCTAGGAAAATTAGAAGTTGTCAAAAATGAAAATGAAATACAAAAAGATCAAGATCCTAGGCATGACAATCACATGCGTTACTATGCCAGAATGACAAATAGAAGAGGAATGGCATCACACTCATCAGAAAGAACATTTTAAGATCTATCTTGACGTATAATGTTAGCTGTGACAAGATAATATCTGTATGCCTACAAGAATACCAGTTAATACCATTATTCAAATTTGCATACCAACCACTAAAGTCAGTGATGATGAAATTGAAGAGTTCTACCAACTTCTTCAGTCTGAAATTGATCAAACTTGCAATCAAGATTGTATTGGCCATTGGAATGCAGAAATTAGAAACAAAGAAGGTGAATTAGTAGTAGTTGGAAAATATGACCTTGGTGATAGAAATGATGCTGGGGATCACATGATAGAATTTTGCAGGGTCAATGACTTCTTCATTTCAGTTACCTTTTTTAGTAACATTAAAGACTGTATGCAAGGAACTCGCCAGATGGAACACTGAAATCAATGTAAAGAAAACAGAAATCTCCCATCACTTGACCAATAAATGACACCATGATAAATGGAGAAAAAATTGAAGTTGTCAAGGACTTAATTTTGCTTGGGTCCTCTCTCAACACTCATGGGAGCAGCAGTGAAGAAATCATAGATGTATTGCATTAGATAAGTCTGCTGCACAAGATCTCTTTAAAATGTTTAAGAGCAAAGATGTTAGTTTGAGGACTAAAGTGCACCAAACTATGATATTTTCCGTTGAACAGTAAATAAGAAAGAACATAGAAAATTTGATACATTTGAGTTATGGTGTTGGAGAAGACTATTGAAAGTACTGTGGACTGCCAGAAAAACAAACAAATCAGTCTTGGAAGAAGCACAGCCAGGATGGTGAGACTTCCTCTTCTATATTTTGGACATACTACCAGGAGAGATCAGTCCCTGGAGAAGGACATCATGCTTGGTAAAGTGGAGGGTCAGAGAAAAAAAGGAAGACTCCCCACAAGATACAATGGGAGCAGCAGTGGGCTTATACATACCAAGGATTGTGAGGATGGTGCAGGACCGGTCAGTGCTCCAGTCTCCTGTTCATAAGGTTGCACCTAAAAGCAACAACATTCCAGTTGATAGAAGAGGGAAGTGATCCAGATAATTCTGTATCTGGACTGGAAATTTAACTAGCGTTCTCAAGTCTTTACTTCTTAGACTTAAGGTTTTGAACATTATCTTTGAGAGCATCTTATTGTCTGTTTTCCTGGAAGAAGTAAAATCTCTGTGCCTTTTGTTAGGGCTTTCACTTGAACTTGAGTTTGTAATTGCCTGTGTGAAATATTTTGACATTTGGGTGGGAATAGAAGCTTTTGAATTTGAAGGTAAAAGTTGTACATAGTATTACCTTATAACCAATCGTGTTTAATTGTTTGTTCTTTAGGAAAACCAGCCATTGCACACAGAGATTTGAAATCAAAGAATATATTAGTAAAGAAGAATGGGACTTGCTGTATTGCAGACTTGGGACTGGCAGTAAGACACGATTCTGCCACTGACACAATCGATATTGCTCCAAATCACAGAGTGGGAACAAAAAGGTAAATTTTTATTGCCTCCATAAATGTAGTTTTTTTTCCCTCTAGTTTGTGTGCGTATTTTTTCTCAGACTCAAATGTCTACCTTACTAGATTGCCTATAAGTAAAAGATCTCATGGTCTTGCCAGCTCTGATGTCTGATGAGGAAAAGAATCCCTTCTAGAAAATACTGTTAGGATCTGCATTGGATTGCAAGGTTGGTGGTTCAAAGCCACCAGCTGCTCCTTGGAAACCCTATATAGGGTTGCTGTGAGTCGGCACTAACTCCACAGCACGTAACAACAGCAATGTTTACCAAAGGAGTCCTGGTGTGGTGCTGTATAGGATAAGTACTGGGCCACAAAGTTGGTTTGAACTGCAAGGTCAGCAGTTCAAACTCACCAGCTTATACAGGGTCTAATATATGAGTTGGCAGCGACTTGATGGCACTTAACAACAAGAGCAACATATTGATTATAATAGCGATAGTATTTAATGTGCCAAAGGAGCTCTGGTATCATGGATTACGAGGTGGGCTGCTAATTGCAATGTCAGCAGTTTGAATGTACCAGGTACTCCTTGAGAGAATAATGAGGCTTTGTACTCCCATAAAGATTTACAACTTCAGAAACCTACATAAGGTTGCTATGAGTCAGAACCAACTCTAAAGCACATAACCATCACCATCAGTATGTACCAAGCATTTTAATAGGCCTTTTTTTATATATTATCTTATTTAATGCTCTCCTTAAATAGTGTTGTAATTAGCTCAGCTATTTTCATTTCTTAAAAACATGTCATTCTCTTTCTTGGAGCCTTTGCATATGCTTTATTAAGAGCATATTTTCCCTTCTGTGGTACTCACTTTGCTTTCATTACAGTGCCTAGAATGTGGTAAGTCCTCAATATTTGTTGAAATCCTGAATCCTCAAAAGAACTAACTAGGTAGGTTTCATTGCCACTAATTCAGAGGTGAAGAAGTTAAATAATGGGGCCAGTTTCCTGTGTCTGGAGAGCTGATGAACTAAGATTTTAACCTGGCCCTGTCTTACTTGAAAGCTCTTGTTGTGGGTGTCACAGCATACTTCCGTAGTATTTCTGCAGACTGAATTCTTGGATTCACCTAGGGACTTTTCAGAACTATCAACTGGATCATTGGTCCAGGACAGTGGTTGCTATAGGTCTTTATGGGTCCTGTCCTATGGTCTTAAGAGGGTCTTTGAAACTTCGGAAGCCTAATGATGTTTGAAAACCTTAGCTACAGAAGCCTTACAGTGTGACATCAATATGGACTGACATTCATTTTTTTCCCTAGTACTTTGTTCCCTGGAATAGGTCCCTGTCCTTCCTTTCATCTTGTTGCAGTGGGAAGACTTCTAGATTAGAGCACATAATCCCACATCACACATGACAAAGCAGGTGGTGTATGTTAAGACATTTGTAATAGTCAACAGTTGTCTATGTGTGTCTTTTATTGGAAGTTAAAATCATGAGACAGCATATTATGAAACTGCTATTTTAGCTTTTCGTGGGATTTAGTTGACATAGTTAACTTAGAAACTAGTGTGAATATTTAACATTTTTCTTGAGTGTAAAACCCTGTACAGGGTCGCCATGAGTTGGAACCGACTCCACAGCACACAACCACCACCAATGTAATAGTGGTTATACAGTATTGATTCTGTATCTATACTTGTGTAGAAAGATGTCTGAAATAATGGTCATCAAAAAGTTGTTGATGTGTAGTAGTAGTAGTAAGATATATATTTTTTCCTACTTTGTACTTTGTTGTATGGGGTTTCAAAGGACCAACGGTGGGCTTAAACCACCGACCTTGCAGTTAGCAGTCCAGTCATCCTACACTGTCATACCAGGACTCTACTTTGTACTTTTAGACTTTTTTAAAATAATACTCAAGAATTATATCTTTCAAAAAAATCATTCACATGCTTGAAGAGAGAAAGGTCTTAAAATTAGTTAATTTTGATTATTTTTTATTCTGCTGAGGAAAAAGAAAATTATGAAACAGTACAAAAATTATATGGTCACCATTCTATAAAATAAATTGTTACTTTCTCTTTTAGATACATGGCTCCTGAAGTTCTAGATGATTCCATAAATATGAAACACTTTGAATCCTTCAAGCGTGCTGACATCTATGCAATGGGCTTAGTGTTCTGGGAAATTGCCCGACGATGTTCCATTGGTGGTAAATTGCTTCCCTATCCCCAACAGTTTATCTTAAGAGTTTGCTCAAGAGTTGGCTTCTTTTGTTTTGAGTGAATTGCACACAATCAGCAGCCTGAGGTTGTGTCCCACAGGTGATCCCTGAGAGCACGAGAGAAAATCAAGGGGAGGAGACTTGCAGTAGGGACATGGAATGTCGTGCAAATGCACAGCCTTGTGGTGTCTTCCTAATTCCCTGTGCATCTTGGGACACATTTGATCCCAACATCTTTTATCTTCAAATATCGTTATTTAGAATGAATGACTGATGGAGACACATAGGAAACTCTTTCTAGGGTGTATCTGGGTCAAAGTGATACTTTCATCTTAGGGAGCCTTGTTTAAATTACTTGGGAGATTGTGTTTGATTTATATACAGTGAGCTCTATCTAAGGTATCAGAGCTTGGCCTCTTGGCTGCTTCTCTCACTTTTGCTTATGATTAATAGGTGTCACAGAAATCATTTAAAATGAGTTTCCTGTTCCTTTGGGACAGGGAGGAGATAATTCTTTTCTTTCTTTTTTTTTTTTCATGATAATAACTATTATTTATATCCAAGTTTAAAAAAATTAGTTTGTTGTAACCTTTAGGTTTTGTTTCAGACTGAACACTTTGAGATGTTAACTTACAAAGGCAATCTTAGGCTTAGATGCTGCCCATGCTTGACCAGGAGACCCGGGGCTCCAGGTTTTGGGGGCAGTGAGAGGAGGCAGTGTATTTCTTTGTATTGTAACAAATATGATGTTATTGACAGATACAAGTCGAGAACAATTTATGCCTCAGATTTGCCTTGTAAGATTCACATGTCAGTCTTATCTCCATACCAGTGAGGTGCTCACACCCACAGAATTAGCCCTATCAGTTGCTGCATAGTGAAGTTGTAGGAGACATCTGTGTTGTTATCACAGCTGTAGGAAACCGTCATCAAAGTAGTCTTAGCTGATGCCTTAGCTATAGTTAGTTTCAAGGTGTGGAGCTAGTATCCATGCACGGAGGAAGATGTAAGCCCTATTCTGCTTACCTAATTTACAGTTGTTGTTAAGTGCCGTCGAGTCAGTTCTGACCCATAGCGACCCTGTACAGGGTTTCCGAGGCTGTAAATCTTTACGGGAGCAGAACGCCTCATCTTTCTCCCGCAGAGCGGCTGGTAGTTTGGAACTGCTGGCCTTATGGTTCGCAGCTCGATTCGTAACCACTACGCTACCAGAGCTCCTTTTTACAGTACTAGGACTCAAAGAAAGTCCCCCTTTCTGTCTTGTCAAAGAATGGTTTGGTTTTATCTGTGAGTGAATGTTTCAAAATAAAACTTAATTTTGTTTTTTTTAAAACTACTACAGGAATTCATGAAGATTACCAGCTGCCTTACTATGACCTTGTACCTTCTGACCCTTCAGTTGAAGAAATGAGAAAAGTCGTTTGTGAACAGAAGTTAAGACCAAATATTCCAAACAGGTGGCAGAGCTGTGAAGTGAGTGTTTCTTTTGGATATTTACACAATCTTCTGCTTAGTCAGTGGAAACTTGTGTGACTTTTCTGTAAGGAAAAGAACAATAAGAATTCCCATTTCTTCCTTTCCTATGGCAATTTAAGCCAATAAATAAAAATAGAATAATCTGGTTTTTATGTGGACCAGTTTTAGCCACTGGTCCACATAAAAACCAGATTCTAAAAGGGCCATGGAACATGATTGTTAATGTATCTGAACAGTGTCTAGATCATCTGTCACATGAACCATGGCATCTGCATTTTAAATGAATGCCTCCCTTCAGCCATTGCAGCCAGTAGAGGAGCCCAGCATTGGGCAGGCCTGCATTCTAGACCAGCCTGGCTGCCAATTTAGTCTCTTTCTCTAGGCAGAACATTTCTGTTCCCTGTGGCCTTGCCATCCCCCTTTGTAAAAGGAAGGTCTTAGATGATTGTGAAGATGGTCCAGGTGGTGGTGTATTGAATTGTTCTGACTGCCCATGTGACCACTTACTTCCCAGCAGCCTCCAGACTGCTCTGTTGGCCTCACTTCTGACAAAGGTTTTAGAAATGCTGTGGTGTGCTGTAGGGTCAGTTCTAACTCATAGTGACCCTGGATAGGGTTTCTGAGAGTGGCTGATGAGTTTGAACTGCTGACCTTGAAGTTAGCAGTCCAGTGCTTACCCTGCAGTGCCACACCAAGGCTTAGAATTGTTTTTTGTTATTGGTAAGTGCCGTTGAATCTCTTCTGACTCAATAGTGACCCTGTATTATTAGGGTGTCCAAGGAATGGTTGGTGACTTTGAACCTCCGACCTTGCGGTTCAAACCGACCTTATGGGAGTGCTTATTCTACAGTGCCACACCCGGACTCCTAGAAATGTTTACTTAACTCTAAATGTAAAAATTCATTAGATTTTCTCTAAGTTGTCCTTAATTACTAGCTGTTACCATTATTATAATATTGGTGAGGTGAGGCATTTTCTTACAACTTCAAAGTCCTCTAGCTTGGAGGCAATGGAAAGTTTGTTACTTTAGTAATTGGTTTTACATCTTAAAATAATGTAGGATTCAGTAGAACTCCTCAGACAGCTCTAAGCTGCTTCAAACAAAATCAGATATCCAGGCCTGGGTAAGACACATATCAGCTTGCTTAAAGAATTTGCATATGACATAGTTCCACAAAGGAGAGTGGGACCAGATTTTGTGTCTTTAAAATTTAGTCCAGATACTACAAATTTGAAGTATTCATATATTCTTTCAATAATTAAACCAGATTATTATCAAACACATATGGCTTTTAAGAAAGAAAAAAAGGTAACAGTCATCATTAAGAGCACACATGGCAATACTTGATGGCTATCATAACTTGCTGAATAAATACCATCACTGTCATTTTTGTTCTTTCCTTAATTTCCTTAGTTTTCTGTGTATTTAGCACTAATTCAGTCTTTTCCTTTTGTATGGTTGTATAAATCTCTCAGTAGTCTGCAAAAGTTGAATCAAGGTTATGGAGCTAACAGGATGATACCTAAGTCTTTTCCAGACCCTTGTGACCTGTTCCAGTCTGGACTGGCTGCTCTGTAGGCCCAGTGCCTAAGTGTCATCTGGGGATGTCTCTCACCTTTCAGCCTGAGACTCGCTTTTGCTTCTCTCTTATGTTGAATCCTCCTTCCTGAATTCTCTAGCTTCCTTTTTCTTGGTTTACTCATTTGCTAAATTCTCTGTTTAATATTACCTTGTCAATGAGTCATTCCCCCTCTACCTATTTAAAATAGCACATATCCCCAGCATCTACACAGTCGTGCATTTTACGTATTTATTATGTTGCCTACCCCAAGAGGATTTACGCTTTATGAAGTCAGAGATTTGGGGGTTTTGTTCACTGGAGTTCTGGTGTGTACTTAGAAAAGGCCACTGGAAGGTGATAGGAAGCAGCTTTGTGAATGGAGCTTTTCGGCTGATCTTTAGGGTGACCTCTGAGGAGCCACCGATTTCAGTCACGTTAGGTCTTTCCTCTGGGGCTGCTCAGATTCCCCAGAGAAGCTGCTCTCAGTCTCCTTTCTGGCACAGTATGTCCCAAGTTGCTGCTCACTTTTAGTGGGTTTTCAGCACAAAACTTCTGCCCTCAGGTTCCCTAGGCCAGAAACTTGGTTTTACCCTCTCTGAGAAAAAAGCCTCACCATCCTCTGGGGTCGATGTGAAGTTGAGGAGAGGCATGTATCTAGAACTCCAACTGCTTCATAGGCTGATTCTTGTATTTTTAACCTGAGCTTCCCGACCACATCCAGTGGGACTTGACACACTAATTCCTGTTGGGTGGGGGAGTTTCACATTCCCTCATTTTCTCATCCAGTGGTGCTGGTTTAGGATTTCACTGTTTAGGTCTGCTGGTGGCACTAATACGCTAGATGGAGAGCTTGGTCATTTCTATTCATTTACTATTACCAATGATGCCGAAACCAAAACATTGGATATATATGCTTCATTTCAACAAGAAAGTGTACAGGTCAAGGTTCTTAATCTAGATTAATGGAAAGTGGTTCATGCATTCATTATTTTCCTTTTATTTTCTTGTAGGCCTTGAGAGTTATGGCTAAAATTATGAGAGAATGTTGGTATGCCAATGGAGCAGCCAGACTGACGGCTTTGCGGATTAAGAAAACATTGTCACAGCTCAGCCAGCAGGAAGGCATCAAGATGTAATTGCAGCTTTTCCTGGGCTCTCATTTTTCTTCAGATCCGCTCCTGGGTTTTCATTTGGGAGGTCACTGATTCTACCTCACTGAGGGAACAGGATATTACTTACTTACTTTTTGCAGTAGTGTAAAAGGTCAATGACAAACTCCCCAGGATTTCCCCAGGACCAGCCATGGAGTCCTTTCTGTGTACTCTGAGCACTTCTTTCCCAGGACAGTGACACAGTGTTACGTGGTCTACCTTTTATTTTCATTCACACGAAATTTGTGTGTGTGTGTTTTTAAAGATGGTTGTTTGTCTCTACTCTAGTAGCTCTGCTGTGCTGAAGACCATCTTTAATGGTAAAGGAGCTGGATTTCTGAGTTACTGAAACATTTCATTTCTTATTTTTTAAAGAATACGATTTTCTCCTGGTTAGTACATTCTCAGACAGCGCTGAACCACTGAAGAGTTTCCTTGAATCAGACTTTGAATGTACTGTTCTATCATGTTTCAGGATTTTAAAACTAACACATGAAACTTACCTTGAGTCTAAAAATGGCCTCATATAGTAAGTAGTGAAGAACACAATTTATGCAATCGTATTTTGTATACTACTATTGTTCTTTCACATATTCAGAACATCACATGCCTTCAAAATGGGGTTGTACTATCCCAGTAAGTGCCACTTCTCTGTCTTTCTAATGGAAATTAGTAGAGTTGCTGAAAGTCTGTGTGCTTTAAAGCCTGTAGTATGCAAATTCAAAAAGCTTATTTATCCAGGTAATCCAGACTTCTTTTATTTTTTTTTGGAAGGGTTTTTGTGGTGTATCATTTGGTATTCTATTTTCAAAATGCCTTTCTCCTACCAAAATGTGCTTACATTAAACCACTACAGAAATGAAGTGGCATTGCTTAGTGCATTGTTTCCATGGTCATATGTGCATAGTCTCCCATCAAGTGTTTCCATTTTCATTATACTGTCTTGAGAATATTTTTTTAAAAATCAAGTGACACTCTCTAGATGCTTATAGTACTTTAATAATTGAAACTTTGTAGCATACAGACTAATTTTCTAAAAGGGAAAGAAAGTTTGTTTAGCTACTTGTGAAAAGTTGTGTGGCATTCTACAAGCCATTTTTCCCCTTTATCTGATCAAAGACAGTGTTATTTTTTTAAGAAATGAATTATGTTTAAAGTTAAAATATGGTTAATGTTAAATAATAGGCTTCTTCCTAGCAAGGTAAAGGTAATTAATCATTTGACTAGATACCAGGTGTGCCAGAGTCACGTTGGTTCTGTAGGAGTCAGTGTTCAGTGGAGTCGCTGTGTCTTTGTAAGTAAACTTAGAGGTAGTGTGGGTTTTGAGGTCTCACTGCACTTTGAGAAAGGCAGCTTTTAATTCAGTCTTTCCTTAAGTGTGCAAATATTGCAACTGCTGAATTTGCATAATTATGAAATTAATTCTGTGCACCCTCAGTAATTTGGGAGAAGTGTTGGCTAAAGAATATTCCGAGTATCGGTTCTTGATGTCCAGCTGTTTTCAGGTGAATGTTTAAGGCAGATTTGTCATTGTCTTCTCTCATTAAGTTGGGCCGAGTTTATTGCTTCCAGTGCTAGAAACTAGCCTATGTCGGGTTTTCCCAGTTTCCCAGTCCTTTGTATCACTGTGACCTTGCTCTGGGGAAATAAAAGTTATCGTAGCTGTGAGAGAAGACTCTGATCTTACAGTGCCAGCCATCTCCTGACCAAAGGGGCTTTGGCCACTGACATGATTGAGTTGCGTTGTGAATAAGGTCTTATCTCTTACACATAGTAAGAATAAAGTTGCAAGACTTATTTGGTCTTAAAACCAAAGTGATCTTAGAATAAATGACTTTACATAGGAATTTAATGTCAATTTCTTGTGTCGAATAGAGCATCATGGGGGAAATGTGCTTACAGGTTACTAATACTTTGACTACAAATTAGAGTGTTTTCTGTAGCTCCCATGATTTCATTGAAGCAAATGAATGGGTTTGAGAGGTTTGTCTTGTATGAACTGTTTCATAAGCTCTGTGATCAGGTACTTGTGTTCTTTTTCTTTCTCTTTTTTGGGGGTGAGGCATTTCTAAGCCTAACAGATCTGCTCTATGAAATCCAGGGGACCAATGCATTTTATCACTAAAACTATTTTTATATAATTTTAAGAACATACCAAAAGTTCTGGTACATGATTTCTCATTTTCATTACAAGGTAATCAAGTTTTGCTGATGATATTCTTTGTTAAATCAAATGTTGAGTTACAACTATACTGTTCTTGTCTAGGTCGATAAAATGTACTTTTGATGGATCAGGGAATTTTTCTTAAAATTGCAATTTAGTTCTAAATTGGGTTTATGTATTACTGCAGTGGATTCTTTTTTTTTTTTTTTTTGACTAGTGATAAAAGTCCCATTGGTGAATATTGAAAATGAAAGTGACTTCTAAGACATGGATTGTGATTACTGCAGGCATCCCACATCACATAAATTTGAAGAGGGTATTAATTTTGTCATTTAGAAACACAAACACTCTTTCTCTGTACTGCCTATCCTAAGATGCTTACCATTCAAGATTCAACTTGGCTGAAACATCTTTTGACAGATTGACTGTTCATAACCATTTGTCAACCCCTAGGGGAATCAGATGGGGAGGTGTGGCTAAGTGGGACATCCCTGATCTGTTTTTTGCAGCTCTGTTTTTACCACCTGCCTGCCCTCCTGCTAGTCCCTGACTCAGATAGCATTGCCTTGCCCCACCCTCCCATCCCATCCCATCCCAGCCTGTCTCCCCTACTCCCCCCAGTTCCATAGCCTTTTGAACAATAGAACTGCTTTTGAGACCTATAGACTAAAATCATTGATGGAAGTTGTGGGACACACTTCCAAATCCTAGATGCTGTACGCAGGAGTCTCCCAAGTTTGCAGTACACGAGGCTTGGGAAGGCCTGCTGGTACCCTGCTTTGACTCAAGCCTTGGAGAGAAGGGGAGTGACTTTGAAGCTATGGCAGTGGAGGTTGTGCCGGGAGCAGTGACCACTTGTAGCCCTCATAGGACAGGGTAAGGCCTGAAGAGCTGAGCCTGTGACTCTGCTGTGATGACAGTGTTCAAGAAGTGCCTTGAGTCCGTGTGCACTGCCATGGCCCGGAAGAGTTTCAGATTTCAGTTCTGGTGACGGTGAAGTGAAACGCTTGGCCATTTAGCAGCCCATGAATTACTTATATTTATTTGCTCCATGTCTGAGAGCTGTTCGATAGAAACTTTTTTGTAAAAAAGGCAGCGGGGTGCTGGTAAAGATGCACAAAATCTGTCTCCCATCAGACATGCCATACCAAGAGTTCATTTCCTCCTTGCAATGAACAGAATGATTGTAAGTCAACTCTTCATTTTGTTTCTTGACCGTGGCAGTGTTGTGACTCCAAATAGTGGATTCCAAATAATGGTTTTGTAATAACTTGGCAGAAAATGCCAATTCAAATACTTTGAGATCTTTCAGAATCGTTCTAACCGTGTACTGAAGCTTCTTGTATCTTCTGTTTTGAAATGCTGGAATACCCACGGGGCCTCTCAGAATGCTGGACTTCTTGGGCATCCTGAGGATTGTCAGTGTGTTTAAATTATTCTGTCCCATTATGCAGTCTTACTTGTAACTGTAGACATTAAAAAAAAAAATGGGGTTAACAACATTCAACCTGTTTCTTAATGCTTAAAAAGAACTTCACTGAACTTGTATTTAATTTTGAACATGATTTGTGAATCGATTATCATGAACCATGTTTTGATAGCCCTTTTTCACATTGTGCCAACGGAATGGTTACAGAGGTGTTTGGTATTTCTTTATGTGTTAAGGAGATGCTTCAAGATGTCAATTGCTTTAAACTGAAATTACCTCTCAAGAGACCAACGTACATTTACCTCATTGTGTATATAATGTTGAATATTTGTCAGAGCATTCTCCAAGGTTGCAGTTTTCTTTCTATAAACTATGGTTATTGTATCGCTAAATTACTCAAATGGTACTGTATTGTTTATATTTGTACCCCAAATAACATCATCTGTACTTTTCTGTTTTCTGTATTTTACTGTATTTGTGCACAATTCTTTTGGCTTTATTTTAGTATATTATCTACCCTTTCAGATCTGTACAGAGAATGTCCATACAAATTTTCATTTTAAATTGAATGATTTTGCTAAACCTATAAAGAGAAGAGAAAAAGACTGCATTTCTCCATAAGTTTTTTTAAAAAATTATATATTGTAGTAATACTACGAATGAACTGTAAATAGAAGTAGACGAGTGATGCTTACGTTGAGTCCTAACACTACAGTAGAAAAATGAAAGCAATGCAAATAAATTACTTTTTTCCCAACGCGCACGTGGCATGATTTGAAGTAATGTGTGCATGTTGGAGTGAACCATGCAGTTAAGAAACGTTGCTATTGGTAGTGACGAGGATCTCCGGGTTGGAAGAGTTGAATGGTCATGTTTGACAAGGGCCTGCCTGCTGCCAAAGGTTGGCCAATAATCAAATGAGAGCGTATTGTGGTGGTGATAAGTGCCTTCGAGTCAGTTCCAACTCATAGCTACTCTGTATAAGGTTTCCAAGGAGTGGCTGGTGGGATTGAACTGTTGCCTCAGGATTAGCAGTTCAGTGTTTATCCAGCAGTTGAGGGAACTTTAGAAAGCTCATGGTAAGTTTCCAGTATCTTAATTCCATTTTTCCATGAGCTTTTTGACACCCCCTTGTATTGTTACAGGGTGTGCAGGGAGAGGTGGGTTGTTAGACTGCTTGGTAATATGAGACAGTTTAGAACTGAAAACCAGGAAAGGTTATGGATGTCGGCACTAAAGTCAAATGACCACTGTTGTTTGGCACTCCTCATGTCCTCACCAGGAATCCGTCAGATGATCAATTGATTGACAAACAAAAAGTGATTTGGTCACTGGAGTGAGTCATGTGTTGAATGTATTTTGGGGGAGTTAATTCCAGGTGTGAGATGATTCTGCTTACTAATAGCTTGTGTGTTGTGCCCACGTCCTTTCATGTGCATGCTTTCATCGGTGGGGACCAGCCGAAGGTGTCCTCAGGAGGGATATGGAACTAAACTGGGAATCCTGGCCTCTAGAAAATGGCTAGCAGTGGCCAGGTAAGCTCAGGGATAATCTCTTCACTCTCGCTGTCCCTTTTACCATGTGAGCTGTTTTTTTTACCCACAAGGCAAATCTCAGTGTGCTCCCAGCGGGGGAGTTCTAGCTCTGGGGGTTGCCAAGTCCCAGGGTCAGAGAATTCTAAAAGTTAGGGACACATAAATAGAAGAAAACTTATGCTATACAACTTCTAGAAGAAAACAAGAACAATTTTGTGAATTTGTGTTAGGCACAAAGTTCTCCAAAAGCACAATCCAATAAGAGAAGAAATGGATAATTTGAATTCAAAATGAAAATCTTTTGTTTAAATTGTTTTAAGAGTACGAGAAGCTACATAATGGGAGAAATTATTTGCAAATCACGCATCTGATAGAGGAGTTGTATTCATAATATATAAAGGTCTTATAAAGCTCAGTTAGACAACCTGTTTTAAAAGGTTAAGATTGAATAGGCATAGGCATTTTTCCAAGAAGATATATGAATGGCTAATAAATGCAATTCCCTAAAAACGGCTGATGAAATTAACACCACAGTGAGAAAGTACTACACTACTGTAACCAAGAAAGACAGTACCAAGTTAGGA